GCGAGGCCGCCGAAGGCGGCCGAGCAAACGGGAACATCCCAACAATAACTCTAACCTAATATAACAGCGAGGCCGCCGAAGGCGGCCGAGCCAAAAGAACTCCCCAACAATAACCCCAACCTAATATAACAGCAAGGCCGACAAAGGCGGCCGAACTATGGGGAACATCCCGACAATATCTTTAACCTTATACAACAGCGAATCTGTTGAAACTAGTAGAGCCAATTTCTCAACAGTAATCCTTACATAACCGAGAATACAGCAAACAAGAACATTAACCTCGTTTAACCTGAATCTCAGTATCGAAGTAGCCGAAATTTGCTAAACAAACGAGTAAGGACTTTTTATAGAAAGTACTTTGGATTCATTCATTTTTAACTCAAATGCATGAAGTTTACTCGTTGGGCATCAATAGCTTTTAGTCGTCAAACAATTTATGTTCAAGTAATTGTTAAAGGTTACCCACAAACTCAATCGGTATTTAGTGAGGTTAGGGTTGTTTTTGGGATGTTCCCGTTTGCTCGGCCGCTTTCGGCGGCCCCGCTGTTATATTAGGTTAGGGTTATTGCTGGGGAGTACTCTCGGTTATATTAGGTTAGGGTTATTGTTGGGATGTTCCCGTTTGCTCGGCCGCCTTCGGCGGCCTCGCTGTTGTGTTTTCTTGTATAACTATTTACAAGCCGAAAATGGTAATGTTGGTTTAAGGGCGCTTCAGTGCAACTTTCCCTTAAAGCGCATTCGCTGCTTGCAAATGCTTGACTTTGTTTACAGAGCAAGCCAGTGTCTGTCCCTTTTAGCGCACTCTCCCTTAACATGACACACTCACTGTGGCTGAGTCCATGGCAAAAAATTTCGCGAAGATGTCATGGGTGGAGCTANATTTTAGAGCTACTCTGCGCTGCACAAGTGAGTTCCTACATTGGAAAACGTGCTTCCTTTTCTCCTTTTCAGTCCAGCTTGTGTTTTTGCATCAACAATGCCTCCCAAGCCGAAGAAGACTCCCGCCGCCGCCCCAGCTGCTTCCGGCTCGAAGGCGCCCGCAAAGGCAGCCCCAGCCGCCAGCAAGGCTCCAGCTGCGAAACCGGCCGAAAAGAAGCCCAAGGTGGCTGCCAAACCTGCCGCGAAACAGCCCAAATCGGCCGCTTCTGCCAAGTCGAAGGCTCTCACCACCCAGAGCAAGGTGAAGAAGGGTAACTTCCAAAAGAGAACCCGAAAGATCCGCACCTCTGCCACCTTCCGCCGACCGCACACCAAGGTTTTGCCGCGCAACCCAAAGTTCCAGCGAAACAGTGTGCCCAAGCGCAGTGCTCTGGACAAGTTCTCCATCATCAAATACCCGCTCACCACCGAGTCGGCCATGAAAAAGATCGAGGACAACAACACCCTGGTCTTCATTGTGAACCTTAAGTCCAACAAGCGCCAGATCAAGGACGCCGTCAAATCGCTGTTTGACATTGAGGTCTCAAAGGTGAACACCCTGGTCCGTCCTGACGGTGAGAAGAAGGCGTACGTCAAACTTTCCGCCGACTTTGATGCCCTCGACGTGGCCAACAAAATTGGAATTATATAAATGAGTTCACTCTTAATAAAACACCATTTTCTTGTATTAACTCGTCTTGTTTACTCTTCGGTTTGCATGTCAGTGGGGAAAAGCGCTGATTTATTACGACTTTGAGTGACTTTATAAATTTATTTCAATAATCTACACTTGACAAACAAGTAGCATCTTCTACTGGCGTAGGTACAATTAGGAATAAGAAGTAATTTTACAGGTTCACCTTGCGATGCCAGTTTACGATGACAAGTGACGAGGAGTGTCACAAAACACCTAAGTAAACTTTAAACTTCAGGCGGATACAGCTTGTCAAAGTCGTCCGGAATAGGCACATTGATCTCCTTGGCCAGTTGCAGCAGTTGCTCTGAAAAGGAGACATTTAATATCAAAACAAAGCTAATTTTATGCGCAAGAGACATACCTCTCGTTCTCTTCGAAGCAATCTTGCGTTGTTCTTCGTCCCAAATGACCTTTTTGGCACGCAAGTTCTCTCGGTGCAGCTTCTCGCGCTGCTCCAAGGTTCCTATTAAGTGAATACTGGTTAATACTTGAACATTTAAGAGCATTTCTAAAGTGAAACTTACGCTGTCGCTTTACTCCATATGCGATGCCAGCAAAGAGAAGACCCCAGCGGCAGAACTAGACAAGCAGAGAATGGCTGTTAGTCAGGAAGGGCAATCAGTGCAAACTTGTACATACTCGAATAAAGGGTGAAACACGGACGGGAGCACCGAGCTCCGACTTGGGGATGGAGTAATCGATGGCCATGGTGTCTGGTGGATCGCCAAATGTGATGGAAAACAAACTGCCTGCTTGAGATATTTTTCTGACCTTCCCGGCTATTTTATAGGTATCGTTCTGCTCGTCTGCCTTTTGTTGTGAAAATAGCCACCCGGTGCGATTTTTTTCAGATTTTTTGACGTCAGTGTTTACCAACAAATATTTTCAAAGATTTGAACCTGAAATCATGCCTACAATCATCTTACTCGACAATTCGTTGTCGATGAATCAACTGGTCAAAATTGACGGAAATGCCGAAGTGAAGCGGATCGATTTAGCCAAGCGTGCTGTAAACGCTTTTCTGGACCACCAGGCGAAGCACAACCGACTCGAGTTGACATCGCTCAGTGTTTTCTCAAAAAAGTACCAGGAACTTGTCCCGTTAACTCACGACTATGCTACACTAAAGGATGCATTAAGTGCAGTCGAACTGAAAGAACAGTCACATCTTATTACCGCTTTACACGAAGTTCAAAAGACTATTTCAATTGAAGAATGGGGACGAAATTATACTTGTCAAGTGATTGTGGTGACAGACGGTAATTCTGTTGTGAGTTCAAGCTACCTGAACAAGGGCTGCATGAACATACCTAATCTCGGCGAAAGTGAGAGCAACAATTGGCCCCTTCCTCTGCCATTCCGAAACANCATTTCAATTGAAGAATGGGGACGAAATTATACTTGTCAAGTGATTGTGGTGACAGACGGTAATTCCGTTGTGAGTTCAAGCTACCTAAACAAGGGCTGCATGAACATACCTAATCTCGGCGAAAGTGAGAGCAACAATTGGCCCCTTCCTCTGCCATTCCGAAACAAAATTCACATTATTTGCATAAACACACTCAGTAATCACATGCTTCAGAAGTCACTGCCATTTTACAAAGAGATCATTGCTCGCAATTCTCACAGCAAAGTGGAAGTCAGTGTGAACACTCCCTGTGAAGGTGGTCAAATTTTTGTTCCAACCGTTCCATTGCTGTCATACAGCGCCATTGAAGATCTCACATCAAAGCTATGCTCGGAGTACTTTAAACCACTGACAGGCAAAATAACTTGTGGCAATTTGACTTGCTGCGCTTACTTGTACCCCGGTCTTTCGCCCAACTCCATTTGCAGAGACTCAAGCAACTTGGAAGTCGAAATTTGTGGTTTCTTGAAATCCAATGAAGTCGCCTCTCCACCAGTAAATTCTCGACATTTAGTCGTGCCCATGGCAGAGTCCCTTGAGCAGCTGAAAAAGTTCATGACTTTCCTTAATTACAAGTCTGACCTTACAGATGAAGATATCGCAAAAATGTTTGCTGATGAAGCCAAGCACCCCTCCTTTGGGGTACTATTACATGGAGGTCTGAAAATTGAAAACATGACTGCCCTGTGTCAGCTTAATGATTCTCCCACCTGGTACGGAATGCTCTACTCGGGAACTGACAACAAGAAGAGGTCTTATTTAATGCTAACCACATTTGAGCCAGGAGTAGACTCCGTTTCATGGGCTTCCAAGTTCAGCATTCCCAAAATTCTCAATGACTTGCCGGTTGCTCCCACAATAAAGAAGCCCTCCAACTACGTCGTTTGGCTGCAGCCTGCCTCTATCCAAAATGACGTTCAGGTTTGTAGATTTAAGCTGAGTTTTGTTTAATTTAAACTAACCTCAATTTTATCCTTTTTATCTAAAAGAAAATTATTCGATACACGAGGAAACTACCTGACAAGTTTGACGCATTGCACAGCGAAGTGGTTCGTTTCAAGCGTACCGCCATTGCGTACTACCTGTTCGATCTGATTGATACAATGATTAGCCTGCTTCAGCGAGAAACAGCGACTCATCCAGAGGTGGCCAGCGAAATAGGACGAATCATCAACCTCCTCAGTAAGCCATACGACGACAATACTTGTTAACTTGGGATGAGTTCTTTTTGAAATATAAACTTTTTTTCGTAATCTTCAAGTGCATCTGTGTTATCAACCTGTTTTATTAGCTTTAGCGAATTTAGGGTTTCAATGTTAGAAAAGATCACAGTCAATATTCACACAATTAATATAAACTTTAGGTAAATGGTCCATTTACAAACAGATAAAAACGGTAATTATTAAAACAACGCCTCTACCACCACGAAAAGAACGGAGTCTTCCTCTGAAAACTTTGCGTAAAGTTCTCAGTCATGGTCCTTAGACGCCCCTTGTTTGAAATGCGGCTTCGTTCCATGATTATAGCTGGCATTTGAATTAGCTGCTGTGGACTTTTCTTGTCTTTGAGGGCTTGTGTTAGATTCAAAATCTAGAGCAGCATAAAGAACTGATGTTTAGCAATAATTCAATTAAACGGTGCTCATTATTTGCATACCTGTCCGCGCATTACCGACATTTGTTTTTCGAAAATGTTCCTGTCAAAGCCTTTGTCGGTCTGAAAGTAAATAAAGGTAAATTGACCTGAAAACACAAACTTAGATTTTTCTTACCGAAAAGAGGACAAACAGCTCATCGCATAGCTCTTGGACAAAGTTCATGTCAGACAGTTGATGTAAGACTAAATCACAAATCCGGTCAGAGAATGGCTTTTTGGCGAAGGAAATCCACGCCCAGTAGTAGGGATCTATTAATGGAAAGCACAAGTTAGAAAACAAAGAGTATAAAAACCTAAAACAGGTAACGTACAGGCTCGCCACTCGTCAGGGTGCTTGAAAGGGAAAGCCAAGCCATTGTCTATAGCTGCAATTTTAATTTGGACCACATTTTTGTCAGCGTCGAGTACCTGCTTGACTAGCCAGTTATCATTGCCTCTGTCGGTGTTTCGAATAATATAGTCCAAAACGACTAGCTTCTCGAATTGAAACTGGAAATCATCGAGGATTTCTCCTTCCAGCGGATTCGATTCGATTTTTCGTAACCAAACGCAGGCATCTTCATATCCTTCAACGTATTTTTGAAGAGAGCCCACCTAAAGTGCAGTAAAAGCTGGTATAAACTCGATAAAAGACACACAAACAAAAGTAACTAACCTTGGGTGGCAAGCCAATTCGGTTGAAATGACGACCGACTTTGGGAAATCGTTCGGACACATTTCGTTTAGTTCTCGATTTCGCGCGATCGATTGCAGAATAGTTAAAAGTTAGACTAGTCAGTCGAACAACCTAAAAATACAAATCAATATTGTGGTAATGCGTCACTGGTGAAGAGTTTCAAGTTACCCTGGTCTTAGGAACAATGTTCAGCTGTAGCTTTCGATCGACAACCCAGGCGCCTGCTTCTGACAGGTACCCTTGGTTGGGCACCAGACAGGACCGGCCAAAGCAGCAAGGGCAGCAGAGTTTGTGCATCCATTTGGTCCACTTTGGGTTCAGCATTCCGTAGGGCTCTTCATCCTTGGGCTTGAAAACCCCAGTAACTTTCTGAAAAGAGACATTGTACACACGTTAAAGCTTTTGCGATTTCACCACCCAATGTTTTGCACACTTACCGATGCGTCACTGTTTCGGACAAAGTAGCTCCCGCTGGAGCCTTGTGAAATGCGAGTAGGCATATTGCCATTTTCTATGGCTTGCTCAACCTCCTTTACAAAGCTAGTGAACTCGGCGTCATCGGGAAATGTATTCTTTATCACTTGAGTGCTCTCACTGTCGATTCTTTTTAGCAATGGCTGATTTTCACCGTCTTGATTGGAGGCGTAGGAGTTTGCTGACATGTTAAAGTTGCTGCTTTGGGTGACGCATGTAACATCGGGTAAAATTGTCTCCGCTTCGTTGATGATTAAGTGGTGATTAGGAATCGTTGGCTCGTTGCTGTAGCAACCAGTAGCAACTGAAGTGAGGTCTAACGTCGGGTCGAGGCTTCCCGGTGGGTTGTGAGTTGTGGGTGCGTCCTTGTCGGACTGACTACCAGAGAAGGTTGACTGTGGGTGATTGTGATCATCGTGGATTGGAATGAGTAACTCGTCGTTGCTTTGACTGGCCTGGTTTGTGGGTGTGATACCTTCGGCCTGTTCAAAGTCGCCAAACATTTCACCGCAGGGCCTCCAACCGAATGCAGACCAGAATGGGTAGATGAGTCACAGTGCTCCTGGCGCTGCTTCCGAGCGCGTCTTTGGTCGATGTGCTCTGCTCGTACTGCTGCTTGGCGCTGGTCAAAGGTTCAGCTTGGAAGTTATCTGCGCCTCTAATGAAAGCGTCGCTCAAAGGCGATACCGTTCTGATGGTTGCAACGGATAGCTAGCTGCAATCTCGCGAGAGAACCTTGCATTGCAGAGCTGTGCGCTGCACAGCTGCTGGCTGATTGTTTTGAGCCTCAAATCGAAGGCAGCTGGAGGATACTTGGGTAGATGTAGTACAGTCAGTAGCTGAGTCTGTTTCGAGAATATTGTTTGCTAGCAACATTACCGCTGCTTCATGTCCAGCTGAAGAAGCTGGAAGAAAACGACAACTCGGTGACCGACTCAAACTCGATGCGTCAATTTGTACCAGCCAATTCTTCTGAGCTCCATCCGTCCGCTTCTTGTGCTGCTCCAAGCCCAAACAGCACAAGTAAAGTTCAACTGCCTTCACGATGATGCTTCCAACTGCCGACCAGCAAACTGATGTTTGGATTGAAACAAAGTCTGAAAATGGGAAATGCTACTACTACAATGCAAAAACCCGGGAAACCACATGGACCAAACCCGAAAATGCAAAGATTTTAACTCAAGAGCAATATGTGCAACAGAACACCGTTGCAAGTACCAACGGAGTAGTGAAAACTGAAAGTGGTAAGCTATACAAAGCCGGTGGGCTTGATCCCTCGATTACATCATTAATGCGATTTGTGTTTATGCAGAAACTGCGAAAAACAGCATTGCTCCAGTTGGAACAAACAATGCTGCCTCTTTTCCTCCTGCAGCAATGCCTTCCCAGGTGGGAATGGTTCCACTCGCTCCCAACCGCTTTCCACCTCCATTCATGCATGGCTTTGCCCCTCCTGGTGGTATGTTCTCAAGTGGAAGGCAGGATGGTTATGTAATCTCCCTTTTAAACACTTGTTTTGTTTTCTCAGTGTTTCCGTTTAATCCCGCCATGCCGCCGAATCAGTGGATAGGTCAACAGTCAATCATCCCGTCAGGTGTTGATCAATATAAACAACAACTTCTTTTCAAGATTGACCCCGAATTGCGTTTACAGGCGGCTGACTGGAGTGAGCATAAGACCCCTGATGGAAAATGTTACTTTTTTAATACTAAAACTCAGCAGTCTGTTTGGGAAAAGCCCAAAGTTCTGATACAAGTCGACGGTATTTGCTCTAGTAATTTTTGCTTTTTTATTTATTTATTATTCTTCTTTCAGATGCCATTGAGGCAGTTAAACGTCAAGAGTCTGAACAAAATGACAAGGAAAATATTAAATCTGAGGTAAGAATGCAAAAGCCAGAGGCTTCGGAAGTGGCGCCGAAAAAAGAAGAGCCGCGAGATAAATCTAAACCCGTTTCAAGTAAGCCAATTACTGGAACTCCATGGTAAGGTTTGATTTTCACAATATTTGAATATTTCTAAAACTTTTCTTTTTAGGTGTGTTGTTTGGACCGGAGACAATAGAGTTTTCTTCTTCAATCCTAGCACCAAAACTTCTCTTTGGGAATGTCCTCCAGAGCTGAAAAATCGCCCTGAAATAGAAGAGCTAACTAAGGCACCTCCAAAGGCAAACGATCTTGATAATCAAAATCAATCTGATAATAATTCTGCCCCCCTAAAACGACCTATTGAAGATGAGGAAGCAACCAACCACGTTGAAACCAAAAAGTCCAAGTATGAATTTACATTTACTCATTCTTATACTTGTACTCTAAATGTTCAATTTTAACACAAAGATTAAACAACGATGAACAACAAGTTCCAGAGAAAAAGGAAAGCAGCACTAACAACAGTGCTGCTGAAAGTGAAGCCTCGGCAGCAAAACTGCGACAGAGTTTGCCAATTGAAGAACGGACGAGCATATTTAAAGAAATGATGCTCGAAAAAGAGGTTAGTTTTTATTGTTTGTGGAACTGATTTAAAATTACATTTTTTTTAATTTTTAGGTGTCTGCCTTTTCAACATGGGAAAAAGAGTTGCATAAAATTGTCTTTGATCAGCGGTACCTTTTGCTGACATCTAAAGAGCGTAGGCAAGTGTTTGAACAGTTTGTAAAGGAGCGAGCCGAAGATGAACGAAGGGAAAAGCGGCAACGACAAAAGGTGTATCGAGAGCAATTTTTTCAGTTGCTTGAAGAATCAAACATCACTTCTCGTACAACGTATTCGACATTTTCACAGAAATTCGGCAAAGACAGCCGATTTCGTAATGTTGATAGGTCTCGCGATCGTGAGTCGTATTTTAATGAGTTTATTTCTGATTTGACGAGGAGAGAACGCGACGATAAAGAGAAAAACAGAGAAAAGGTACGTGAATCACTCTTTTTACTTTGTTGAGGTTTTAATTTATTTTTTTTGCAGGCGAAAGCCAACTTTTTAGAGTTGCTAAAGGAGCAGGACTTGACTGGAAGTAGCACTTGGTCAAGTGTGAAAGAAAAGATTCGTGATGACTCTCGCTACAGGGCACTGGAGAGCAGTTCCACCAAAGAGGTGATATTCAAAGAATTTATCTCTAGGATTAATCAAGACACTACTAATGTCGACATATCGACTAATATCGCTGAGAGTCTCAAGCAAAAGGAAAAGCAGGAAAAGATTGAAGCCAGTATTCGAGAGCGCGAAAAGGAGGTAAGACAGTTAGACTCACGTTGAGAAATTATTACATCACATTATTCTTTTTCTTTAGGTGCAACGTGAACTTTCCGCTTCTTTACGACAGCGTGACAAAGAGCGAGATGCTCATTTGCACGCGGAGACCATCGAAAGCTTTAAAGGTTTGTTAATAAAAGGAAATTAACTAGTACTAATTGTATTTTTCAGCTTTGCTCATTGACTTGGTCAAGATACATAGCATCAGCTGGCGGGAAGCTAGAAAAATGTTTAAAAAAGACCATCGCTGGGAGTTAGTTGAATCACTGGATGTAAGTGTTTTTCTATTAAAAACTGTAATCTTTATTCATTTTTCATATAATTTTTCAGAGAGATGAAATGGAGCAGCTTTTCGAGTCTCACATTGAGGTGTTGGTTAAAAAGAAGCGGGAAAAGTTTCATTCAATGCTGGATGAAATCAAAGACCTGGGCTTGTCAACCTCCTGGCGAGACGTTCGCAAGCTGATCTGTAATGACTCGCGCTATTTAAAGTTTTCTTCCAGTGATCGAAAGTGTGAGCGTGAGTACAATGAGTACATGAAGGCCCGACTATCTACGGCTAAAAGCGAGTTTTCCGAGCTGTTGAAAGAGACCAAGCTGATCACTTACAAAACAAAGAAAATGATGGAAGAATCAGAGCAAATCCTGCAGGACATTATGGCCGTTCTGCAGAACGATAAGCGCTATTTGGTACTGGAGAACTTTGCCGATGATCGCCGGCAAATTCTCATCAACTACATCTCTGAACTGCATCGACTTGGACCACCCAAACCCATCACTGCGTCCGAGCCTCCTCGACGAAAATAAATGGCGCTCATGGTATGCCTTCCATTTCATCCCCAACACCTTTCACTGTCACCTATCATCTGTACAAAGAAACGAACATGTCTTTTGATTGTGATGTTGTTTAGCACTGTCATTTCATAGCACTGCATTCTTCATCCTTTTTAAGTATTTAGTAAACACTGTAGTTTGCTAACTTTTTGCACTTTTGATATACTATATACAGCAAATATAACCTGATATATTATCTTCCAAAATAAATGCCTATTGACAACCAAGTCATTTCGTGCTCTGTGGACGAGGATATTTGAGCTGCAATAAGTCAATCAGTTGAACGACTACTGCTAGCACTGAAATAGCAAGCAACTTCAACTGACTAAAAACAAAATGACCCTAACCCTTGAAGTGTGTGTGGACAACTTTGAATCGGTGAAAGCCACCGTTGATGGTGGCGGAAAGCGAGTCGAGTTGTGTAGCTCACTTTTGGTAAGACTTCTGGTTGCAGTACTAATCTTCTAGACTATTGATTACACCTCTTCTTTTCCCTTAGGATGGTGGGCTAACACCTAGCATTGGCCTGTTGAAGCATGTCAAGAAGGTGTACCCATCTCTGGTTGTCTTTGCAATGATCCGTCCTCGAGGAGGTGACTTTTGCTATGATTCCGATGAGTTGCAAATCATGGCATCTGACATTGAACTGCTGAAAGAGGCCGGTGCTGACGGATTTGTCTTTGGCTGTCTCACAGCGGACGGGTCAGTTGACAAGAAGGCCAACAGCTTTCTTTTAAGTACCGCTGATGTATGATTTGTCAGGTTCCCTTTTATCTGTAACTTTCGCTCTATTCGCAGAGAAATCATCACCTTTGCCATGCACCTTCCACCGAGCATTCGACATGACCCGGGAGTTTCAGCAGTCACTGGAGAGCGTCATTGAATTGGGCTTTAAACGAATTCTCACAAGCGGGCATGCGAAAAATGCAGCCGACGGCATTGAGGAGATTTGCCAGCTGGTCGAGTTGGCTCGTGGCCGTATTATCATCATGCCTGGCTCTGGCGTGAACGCCAGCAATTTGGCAGCAATTCTCAACCAGTGCAAAGCACGTGAATTTCACAGCTCTGCCAGTGCACTACGTGACTCGACTATGGCGTACCGTAACCCCAAAATCAACATGGGCTCAAACTCGTCAGAGTTTGCCTGGAAAGTAGCGGTCGTCGATAAGGTTCGAGAGTTGATTGAGATATCAAGCAAACTTCATTAAACTAATTTGACTTTATTGCAATGAGGAATAAACATTTGTAAAATCACAGACATTGCTCTGCACTAGGCAATGGTGAACGATGCCTTTGACAAGTCATTAATGCCAATCTCAATTTGATCACCGTCCTTGACTGCGCTCACACCATCGGGAGTTCCAGTGAGAATCAAATCACCAGTTTCAAGTGTAAAGTATTGGCTTACGTAACTAATTAGAAATGGTATCTTGTAAATCATATCAGAAGTATTGCCTAAGTAAGGAGAAATGTACTGTTATAAAGGGTGTCTTTAATCAAGTTCGAGATGCTTACCTTCCTGTCTCACTTTTCCATTTACTTTAAGCCAAATTTTAAGCGATTCGGGATTAGCGATTGACTCTTTAGGAATAAAGCTTCCAACTGGGCATGAAGTGTCAAATCCTTTGGCAATTGACCAGGGTTCTCCGCGTTTTTTGGCCTCTCCTTGAAAATCACGAGCTGTCATGTCCAGAGCAATCACATAGCTGATTTTAATTAACATATTAAATCATTTTTTTTAGGGAAAGGCTGATAAAAATGTTGTTAAACCCTCTTTTGAATTCTATTTACCCGCCAATAAAATCACTCGCTTCATTTTCTTTGATTGCGCTCCCTTTACGGCCAATGATAACGCCTAGCTCGACTTCATGATGCAATTCCTTGCAACCAGTAGGCACTCTGTGTATAAATTACTAGAATGATGAATTGTTTCGCTAAAATAGATTAAAAACGTCTTAACTTACTTGATGACACCACCATCGGGTAGATAAGCAGTGGCTACAAAGTAAAATGGTAAAGTGAAAGCGGTCAAGAAAGAATCAAAACAATCAACAAAAAAACGTACGAGGTTTCAGAAATATGATTGGCTTGGAGGACAAGTCATGGCCCATCTCTTTTGCGTGAAGTGCATAGTTTCGTCCGACACAGATGATCTTCTTTCCGAACTCGGTAAATCTGGCAAGTCTCATTGTAACACCTGCAATTGTACAATCAGTTTGTTTGTGTACTGTGTCAGCTGGTTGCAGACAGGTGAAGTAGAATGATTCGCCTGCAGAAGCATTTCAATATTGTCCCGTCCTTTACTGAAGGGATCATCACGTGGGTCTGTTTTGAGTTTTGCAAAAAGCTTGCTTCTTTTAATTTTGAATTATTGAACTACTGAATCTTGAGGCATCATGGTCGTCTTTACCTGCAACCAGTGCGGAGATTCTCTAAAGAAGAACAAGGTGGAGCCGCACTTACGGCAGTGCCGAACCCGTTCTCTTTCCTGCGTCGACTGCCTTACAGATTTTGAGTAAGTCATCTTTAAACTTTTTAACTGTAATAATTCATTCCCAACTTTTGCTCAGCACTCAATCGTACAACAAGCACTACGAGTGCATTTCTGAAGATCAAAAGTATGGCGGACAAAACTACCAACAACCGGAATTTAAAGGCAAAGCCAAGCAAAACGACTGGGTTCAAGTAAGGATAATTGTTTGAATCAGACATTCCAATTATTAAATTCACTTCATTTCTTTAAATGCAGAAAATCAAGTCGTTGATTTCCGAAAACCAGTATCCTCGAGAGATTCAGAACATTCTGAATTCTTTAGTCAGCTATGACAACATTCCTAGGAAAAAGCCCAAGTTCGCCAACTTTGTTAAAAATTCGTTTCGTATTAGAGACGACAACTTGATCAGCAAAATATGGGACATTTTTCAAAATTCACTCAAAACCAATGCTCCAGCAAACCAAAATCCAGCAGCAAGTGATCAAAGTATTCAGACGTCAAACAATCAACAAAATGGGGTCAAAAGAAGCATTGGTGAATCACTTGTGGAAGGTGGTAAAGTTGACGAAAATATTAACCCGGAAAAGAAAGTAAAGAAAATGGATGATGATAATCCTCAGATGCAAGAGGGAACTACGGAAAAACTTAAAATGAAAAAAGTTATCAAGTCTTTTCTTCCTGACAACAGTGAAATGTCCATTTCAAAGCTGAGAAAAAAGGTCATCAAGTTCTACCACAAGAATGGATTCACTGACGACGCGGAGATTGAAAGAAAGTTTCAAAACATAACTCGCAAAAATTCATTTGTCATAAACGAAAGTTACATTTCTTTAGCTCAGTAGAGTGCTATTTATTTTATAAACGCTAATAAACATTTTTTATATAACAAACCAATTTACAAACTTCGAGCTGCTGGTGGGCGCTCCTTGGGGAAGTCGAAGATGGGCGTAGAGTCTGTGATGGAAACGATATTGACGCCAGACATTTGCAGGCCTTTGAAAGAGGACATTCGACCAGGGCCGAGGCCACTGATGCAAACTCGAAAGGTGGAGTAGCCCATCTTGGAAACAACTTTGCCAAAGGCCGTTGCCGTCACCTGAGCAGCAATATTGGTTCCTTTGCGGCAGTTTTTGAAGCCATCAACACCACAAGATCGGCTGTATATTGGCTTTCCTTCGGCATTGGTCAGGTTAAATATGGTGTTGTTTTTGGACGATTTGATGTGTACTATGGGCAACTCTTTGAAGGGGATGTTATTGAAAAGGCGATCTGGAGTGTCCAGTCGAGGAAATTCGCACACTTTGGAGAAACCAGTAGCATCAATTTCCGCTGACCTTTCGCCTTGTGAGCCTTCATCTTTCTTTGGCATCGACCGAATCATTGCTCGTTTATCATCGCCCTTTAGCAGCACGGAACTGCTCCAAATCGAGCGGCATCCAGAGCCTGAAAGTCTTGTAATCAAGCTTCGAGAAAGCATTATTGGATGTGTGATATTTGATTTCAGAAGGCGATTCTTTACTTCTTCAGACAAATGTTAAGTTTTCATACGAAGCACTTTGAAAAAGAAAATAAATCAGCTGATTTTTGAAACATGCGTTGTTTTGATACCGCTTTTGTCAAAATAGTGTCTCATTTTCGATTTTTAAAAAATTAATTCACTCGGGAACACCGCTAGATTTAGTTTTACAAAACCAGTACAACTCTGGTTGTTTTTAATGCTGATAATTAACAAAAAATCATTTTGAATGGGTTTGAAATGCAGGTCAGATATTGACCTATTTTTTCCATTAGACACATTTCAAAGTCTGCAGTTTTGTTGGGAGCACAGGTGTTTTTCAAGAGTGATTGGCATCACTTTGCTAGGCAATGGTTGCATCGCGACTGCCCATCACTACAGTGCAATGCAACTCAACCAGACACTCGAGCCAGGAAGATGCAGCCTGTAGAATGCATTAACGTGATACAGGCCGGTGATAACGACGTGTGTACAGACGACTGCATCGCTATGAACAAGTCCCAGCGACAGACTACGAACATTAACTTGGATCGATCAACTTCAGTTCCGTCACCGGCACTCAATGGAAAGAAGAAAAACGATCGGCTCACCTTTGTGGACTTTAGTCCTCAAACAAACTCCTCCTATGTCAAATCGTTGTTCAGCAAGACTGAAACATACGGGTAATGTTTACAGTACAGTTACCCTCTATTTCAGTTCATTACTAACAGTTGAACTTAACCGAGACACAGTGACTTGATCAATAGGGTAAATGAATGGCTTGAAGAACATGTCGAGTGGCAAGCAAAGACGGTGGAAAGTGTTCTCTTTGAGCCGATAAGTTCTCTGAACAAATCTGTTGTTCATGGCTTCAACGTTGAACAGCAACGGAAGCTGTTTAGCTGTAGGTAAACATTTTCGGTATACAAAATGCTCTTCTTTCCAAATAACCGTACATTTAACAGAGTTTGGTTATGTCCACGCGAAGATGCACAGCAACCAATTCAACGACTGAAAGTGTTGAATATAATTCCTAAAGTCAAAATCACCGGGCGTGAACATGACTTGTTTATCGAACAAAAGTCTGGAAACAGACTGAGTTATTCATCTCTAGAACTGCCAACATTTGAAACCATCGACGAATTAGTCCCCCATCTGAATCAATTGCTTCAGGCAAACAAGTACTTTGGTAAAAATGCTGTTTCTGTTTTACCACGATACAACTATTCGGTATTTTTATAGGACAAATTCTGAACATTGAAACTGTTGCACTTCCAATACGACTCAACAAGTGGACGGTCGACACTGAAGATCTCGAGTGGCCAGTGGCGAACTTCAAAGGCGTCCTTAACATTTTACGTGTTCATTTTAATGAGCGATTGTTCATGAATGAAACAATAGAGATTCTCAACTTTGTTCCAGAGATGGAAACTTGGAACGCACCAATGGCAGTACCAAATTTAGAAAATTTTACAAAGTACAGAAACGAGTGATGTTTTGCCTGATGCTTAATAATGAAATACACCTTGTTTCTGTTTAGTGTGCTCAAAAGAGCTTCCCAGACGATTCGACAACGAACTGACCCGATTAGATTGCTAAGCTGCAGCACTCTCTGCTGTCCAACTAATGGTATGCACATTGGCAATGTTTTATTACCTTCATAATAGCATTCTTTACAACTTTCATAGCACTTGCCACCAGTCAAGCTGGGGCTAAATTCGTAGACACAAACAAGACCTTCTATTCAAATGCTGAATGGTGCAACTCGGGCGGCTTCTTAGCCAAATTTGTCCGAATCGCCATAGCAAAAACTACTGAAGGCTCTGGATCTTCTGCACCCAGTCCACTTCTCAATTGGTAAGGTAGACTGGTCTTCTGCAGTCTTTTGCATTTACAATATTTTTCACAGTAAGATATTTGTGCCGGTGAAAAAGAATGGCAGTGAACCGAGCAGTCCAGACCACGAAATGCAGACACTGAAGGATGCAGTCCAGAGTTGGTTTGCCAAAACAGGTAATTCAAACAGTTGAAGCGTGCAATTACCTTCCCTAATACCATCTCACATTTTGCAGAAGCCAAAGTTTTGTCAGTGGAGACGGAAACTATTTCCAGTGCCATCACTTGGACCTCATCGACCACACTGATCGACACCTGCCTTAGTCTGAACAAATTCCCCTGTGATCAGTTAATTGTTTTCAAAGTGTACATAGATGGCCACTATGTTGAACCTTCGAAAGAGCCCAAACATGCTAAAGCATCCAACTGAATTCAAAGTAGTAAACATTTTTTATTTTACAAATCACTTGTTTACCAATTTATGCTTTTGAATGTATCGCATGCGAGCTACGCGATAGAGATGTTCTTTGCGTTCCTGAAAAGACTTTGTACGCTCTTCAGCGGTTTTGCCAAAAGAGGAACCACAAAACATCTTTGCCGAGGCTTCTAAACTAGAAACGCCCCCAGCAACCGGCCCACTTGATGTGCTTGCTTTAGAGGTGTCATTAGCTGAAGGCATGACTTCAGGTGTGTAGGGCACGTTTCCATTCAAAATTCTTTCAATGGTATCATCAATGTTTTTGGTGATTACAATGTCGCTTTTGATTATAGCCAGTGGAACTTGGGGCAACACTTCTTTCACTTTCCGGGCCATTACTTCAACTGATGGAGCCGCTGAAACTCGTGGAGTTGGAGCAGTTTTCCGCCTGTGTTCATCCTGAATTCGCTTCATCATCTCCTTCTTATCACTATTGTCAAAACTGGAAGCGACTAGGTTTGTACAAGATGCCATTTTAAGTTGGACTCGTTTGGTGTATTCGTCGGCCGTTTCATTTTCAGCCTTGTCGAGCGATGCAAGATACCTAATAACAAGTAAAGAATGTATTATACTTGTTTTCAACAATGAATAAACAACTTACCTAACGTTGAAAATAGTAACTGGGAAAAACAAGAGCCAAAACAAATTTGCATGCCAGCTAGCTCCAAGGGGAGAAGTGCTGACGTTAAAAAGTGGATTCTTGCTCTTAATAAAGATGAGGTGAGAGGTAAGTTCAGAGGCAAAAGGCCAACTTTCAAATTTAAATAGGCCGACTTTTCCATTAGTACGTGACGCTTCTGGAAAGCACAGTATCGGAACCAAACTATCTCTGATAACCGTTGAAAAGTCGTTTTTGTGTTGAGCAATAGTTTCTCTTGAAATACCAAAGAGCCAGTTAATGTACCACGGGAAGGCAATGATGCTGTGTGATGCACATGGGTAGATCAGGTTGACAACAAGTGGGTCGAAATCCGAAATTCGATTGCTGACTACCAATTGGGCTTTGCAGTTCTTTAGGTTAAAATCTTCCTCCTGCACGATGATGCCAAGAGCAAAGAATATTGACCTGAAAATAATGCTAAATAATTCTTTTTAGTTCTACGTTGTGTTCAAAAGGTTTTAGAACCTGAATAAACATACCTTCGTGCGTAAGAGTCATTCGGCAACAGAGTTGAGATTAAAAGGACTTGAATAAATATAAAGAGACGTATGATGAAGAGACAGATGCCAATGGGAAAGTACAAACAGGCCAAAAATGTATCCAAGTTTGTTTCGAACCTAAAGAGAAATGAACAATTGTTTTGAATAGGTCCAACAAAAGGTTTTATGAGAAACAAACCTATGACAATCAAACATTTGCCGAATGTCCACATTGCCCTGGTCTCCGTGGAGTGAGTGAGACGATGATTCACTTTGAGGCATCTTTTCGACAAGCCAAATATTGTTGTAAAAAGTGTACTTGTTTAGTGCCAATGAGATGAGTAGTAGATTTTTCAGACTTGCATGCTACCTTTGTTTTTCTCTGTACAAAAAAGATTACACATTCATATCTTCAAACTCCATGTTGTGATGATAAAAGAAATGCTCCTTGCAAGCAATGTCCTGTCTCACAGCAAAATCAGCCGTCAACCTGGCGCCTGTGCATTGAGTGCCGACCACAGCGCGTCTCCTCTAAAACTGTGGTCGCTCAGCAGCACTGTTGCCGCTTGCCAAATGCGCTGGTCTCTGCAAAAGCACCAGAGGTCACTCACTGACACTGTGACGTAACCCAAACTTAATCGGGTCTTTTCATCTGATTACCAACTTTTTTGGGTAAACGGTCACTGCCATTGTTTTAAGAATTGTGCGATTTACTAAAGGGTATACCTGGGCTACTAAATTCTAACTTTGGCATAAGTTTCAACACATTATCTTTCCACACTTTCCACTAGCTTTCAGTGACAGTTAGGCAGACAGACAGAGAGATGAGGAAAAAGTCTGGAGAAAAGCGTAGCCAAACTATAACTCGAATCAACTGTTGAGTGTAGTGTCTGTTTACCTACACTAAAAATCAGTCCGATCTCAGTTTGTTTATGTATTGATCTTTTTAGTGACAATCCGTCAGGGGACAATTTCAGCTAGTCAGAAGTGAGATGCTGGTCTCTGTTCGGAATCTTCATTATCCTGCTCAGTGCTGCAACATTCAGCTCAAATCCCACCGACAAAGCCGTCAAAATGTCAATTTTCAGCAAATTAAAAACGAAAACAAAGAAATTAATTCCAGTTCTTGTCCAAACGATGGACGCACAGCTGGAATTTGAAATTGACAAGAATGCAATGGGAAGAGATCTCTTTGATCTGGTCACAAGAACGATAGGTATGGGTGCTGTTCTATGACAAATTGTCTACACATTTTGTTTTGAGAATCTAATTGTCATTTTCTCAGGCCTAAGAGAGGTTTGGTATTTCGGCCTTCAGTTTGTCGATTCCAAGGGCTTCATCAGCTGGTTGAAGATGGACAAAAAGATATGTGATCAGGACATTGCCTGGAGCAAGATTGCCGAAGATAGCCGGAAGAAGGTCGCCTACGATGCAGTAATGTCTTTTCTCTTTTTGGCCAAATTTTTCCCCGAAGACGTTGCCGAAGAGCTGATACAAGAAGTGACGCAGCATCTCTTCTTTCTACAAGTGAGAGTTTAGTTAAAAATGCAATGTACAGCACTGTCAATCTTTTCACTTCTTTACAGGTCAAACAGTCTATTCTCAACATGGACATATTTTGTCCTCCAGAAGCTAGTGTTTTACTTGCAAGCTATGGTAACTAGTCATTTCTAAAAGCATTTACACTAACTTGTTTACTTGTAAAGCCGTACAGGCCAAATACGGTGACTGCACCGAAGTATACCAAAGGTTAGGGAAACTTGACGTTGAAGAGTTGCTACCTCAGCGTGTCATTGATCAGTACCAAATGACTCCTCAAATGTGGGAGGAGAAGATCCGCATCTGGTATGAAGACCATAAAGGCATGAGTCGAGATGAAGCAGAAATGGAGTACCTCAAAATTGCTCAGGTTTGTCTTTTCGGTACCTCCAGTTCTAAAATCTAATACGGTTTTGTTTTTTCAGGATCTTGAAATGTACGGCGTCAACTACTTTTTAATTAGCAACAAGAGAAATAGTGATTTGTGGCTTGGAGTGACTGCAATAGGTAACCACATACTATCTCGTTTTCTAGAACTAATGCCGAATAAAAACTCTGTTTAGGGCTAAACATTTACGAAAGCAACAACAAGCTCAGTCCCCAGATTACTTTTCCATGGAGTGAAATCGGCTCTGTTAGGACTGTCGGTAATGTAGCCAAAGTAAAACTGAAAAACACACAATGACAATACTTTAAACAGATAAAAAGTTCACCATAAAGCCCATTGACAAGACAAACACGCCCAATTTTCACCTGTACTCTTCCAAAGCGCGTCTAAATAAGCTCATTTTAGGTAAAAACACATATCCCTGTTTATAGTTTTAATAATCATCACTTTTCATTGTAGATTTGTGCATTGGAAATCATGACTTGTTCATGCGTCGTCGGAAGCCCGACTCGATTGAACTGCAACAGGTTGTCTGAGTGCATTTTTTTATTTTTATTCTAATACAACTTTTGTCCTTAAAGATGAAAGCACAAGCAAGAGAAGAGAAAGCTCGACGACAACTTGAACGGGCTCGGCTGTTACGAGAGAAAGAGCTTCGGGAGGATGCAGAAAAAGAGCGAACAGCATTGGAGCAAAAGTTAATGCGGATCCAGGAGGAGGCACACGTCACACAGGAAGCTCTGCGTCGAAATGAAGAAACGACAGAGCTGCTTGCAGAAAAGGCCCGTCTGGCTGAAGAGGAGGCAATGCTGCTCTCACAAAAGGCAGCTGAAGCTGAAGCAGAGATACAACGGGTGAAAATAAGTGCCATCAAAACGGAAGAGGAGAAACACGTAATAGCCAGAAAGGCCGAGGAAGCCGAACTACTTGCCACAACCCTAGTCGAAGAAAGTGATCGCCAAGCCAAAGAAGCCGACCAGCTTCGAGACGAGCTTTACAAGGCCAAAGTGTCGGAGCAGCAAGCCAAAGATAAGCTGATCATTGTGCTGAAGAGCTTACATCACGGCAGTGCCAGTACCAGTTCCCTTCCAGCGCACCACTTGCACACAAAGAACAGCTCGCTGATCATCAGCACGGGCAATCTTAACGGCACTGAAGTACTTCGTGGACCCAACCTTTCCTCGGACATGGGCCAGCTAAACAACGGCCACAATATCGGTCTCAGTGCACAGTCGACAGACTACATGAGCACACCTGCCCCCAGCTCCTACGCCGCCAACAAATCCTGGTGCTCAATGGACGCTACGAACAAACCGATGGTGAGCATCAATATACCAGACACCTTGTACTCTGTCAACTCCCCCGCCACCTCTCCTTGCTCAAATGGGTCGAGCTCAGCGTCAATGCCAGAGACGAACAAACTTCGAGCTGGAGAGCAGCTTCGCCAGGAGATCAACGGTCGAGAGTATGAGGACAATTCCATTTACAGCAACTTGAACAACGTTCCGCGACCGTCTCCTCTAAAGCCCCAGCTGAGCCATCTCAGTTCGCCCAGCAACAGTAGCAGCAGTAGTGCACCCTTTGCATCCTCAGAGACTTCTGGCGTAGCAAACAGTGCCAATTCTTCCTTCAGCCAAAAACTCCTGGCCACTGCCAACAGCAGTGCAGCTGATCATACTGCCTCAGACGAGTATTCGCATGATTTCGTCAACTCGTTCTCCGACACTGATCTGGAGAAACTTCAGTTTGAAGTGGAGAAGGAGCGCATTGAGTACCTGCAAAAGTCCAAGCATTTACAGGAGCAGCTCAAAGAACTAAAGTCGGAAATACAAGTATTAAAGGTGGCGGAAAACATGACCGATCTCGATCGAATTCACGAGGAGAATGTAGATAAGGGCGAAACTAAGTACTCCACACTGAAGAGGACAAAGTCGGGCACTACCAAGGCGCGCGTCGCCTTCTTTGAGGACCTCTGATTTTGACATCATCGTCACGGCGCTGAGTTTGGCAGAGAGTCGGCAGATGCCGCTTCTCGGTAAGAAGTTCTCGCTGAAAGCAACATTTTTTCTCAGACTCTGCTGGCCATGTGAGTGTCCCGCTTGCTGCTGCTCGTCGCCAATTTGCACTGTACATCTCGCTCTGATAGCACTTGTGAGTTGCAGTCTTTTTCTCTCTCGCTCTGCCTCGTTCCACCTTGTGAATTATACCATTTCTGCCTTTTCTCCTCACCAATTCTTATCTCAACGTCCTGACATCTGCCACCACCGCCAGCAGCAGCAACAGCAGCACCACTTCGACCGGCGTTGACTCGTACAAGTACCAAGCGGTGCTGTCCTCTTCAGGCAGCGTACCACACGCCACCCACCTACCCGTTGATAGAGATATAATATATTTATTTCGCCATTTGTATCATTCGAGATGAAATCACTGCACAAGTTACATTAAACGTGCTCTCTCTCTCCCCTTATAACCTTTCTTTCATTACCGACCTCGCACGCCTGCGGGAGCCTTGTTCAGAGAGCGTTTTTCCTACACTACCCTCGTAAGTAAACTCTGACCAAAAGCTGTGTGTATTGTTGCTAGTGTACAGTTAGTTACGTGAGGCAACCTTCTTACAACTCGCAACAATTTTGCACTTTTGCACTTGCAGTTCGATTTCCCTTATCTTTTATTGACTCTTCTATAAATGCAATCATTTCTGTGCTAATAGGCTACTTTTGTCTGTAGATTCGTTAAGCTCAGCCACCTTGCTGCTGAAGGCAATCCTTTAAAGTTTGTCAAATGCTAGAATATATTCCACCGTTATTGTCCAATGATGCGCCGGACGATTACGAGTCCTTGCCACCTACATCAAGTGTCTCCACTCACATGATGGCCGGCGCCATGGCCGGCATGATGGAGCATGTTATTATGTATCCACTGGATTCGGTCAAGGTGAGTTTGCTTTTTAGCCTGGGTTTGTTGTTGTTTTTAATAAGCCACTTTGTTCTTTTGCAGACGCGAATGCAAACTTTGCGACCGAATCCAAATGCATCCTATCGCTCAGTGCCTGAGGCTCTCTACAAAATGGTGCGCTATGAAGGCGTGTTCAGACCAATCAAGGGCGTTTCGGCAGTCATTTGCAGCGCCGGACCAGCACACGCCCTCTACTACTCGTGCTACGAAAAGATGAAGGAAACTATTAGCGGCACCAATGAGGCCTACAAGCAGACCCACCTGGCTCACGGTAGGTTAACTTTTGATTTGAGCTTTTCAAAAACTAACAGCAACAATTCCCTTGCTCCCCCGTGTGCAGGAGCCGCCGGCTGTCTGGCCACGCTTCTTCACGACGCCGTGATGAATCCGGCTGAAGTGGTCAAACAGCGAATGCAAGTGTACAACAGTCCGTACAACTCGTGCACCGCCTGCATGGTGGACGTCTTTCAAACGGAAGGCATTCGCGCCTTTTATCGCAGCTACTTCACCACTTTGATGATGAACATCCCCTTTCAAAGTATTCACTTTGTCAGCTACGAGTTCATGCAAAATATCATGAATCGCAAGCGCGAGTACAATCCTAATGCACACGTCGTTTCCGGAGCTGTGGCTGGTGGCTTCGCCGCTGCCGTCACCACTCCCTTGGACGTCTGCAAAACGCTCATCAACACGCAAGAGAAGCAAATACTGAACGCTTCGAAGCAGCGCAGCGTCACTGGTCTCATCAGCGCGGCCACCACTGTCTATCGGTGTTGCGGCATCAAGGGCTACTTCCAAGGCCTGCAAGCGCGCGTCCTCTACTCTATGCCTGCCACGGCCATTTCTTGGTCGGTCTATGAGTTTCTCAAATACTTTATTAGCAATAGCAATAAAAAGAATTTGAATGGTTCGCATTCCTCTTCTTCCAATTCAGCGAACCTCAATATAAACATCAACCTACCGAAGATGCCCGTCAGTGAGCTCAGTGTAAAGTGAAAGAAGCACCACATGTGATCAACTTTTGATGGTTTTCTCGCTCTCTTTAGAAGCTGTATTTAGAGTTTTATATACACATTTATTTTTATTTCTCCTTGTCTTCTTCTTATCGGCCATCCACAACGCCCAGTCAATGTTTTTATTATTATTGTTTACCTGATTCTCCTCTCCTCACCTCCTTGTACCGTACACTGCTGTACATACCTTCTTGTTGTGCTGTACCAAATTATTACAATCATTCAGGTGGTGGCACTGCTCTAACTCTGTTTGAAGACTTTAAGTTATCACCCATGCGGTTCGCCTCACTCACACCCACCAAGAGCATTTCCACTGTTATGCGACAATCATTTGCCACACCGCTTGACCAAGTCAATTGTTAACAAAATAAAACGGCAATCAAATGTACACAAATTGATTTTGTGGTGTTTATTTGTTTCCTTTGGTATTTCGTTGCTTCACCCTTGTCACATTCACTAGCTGCACAAAACAGCAATTCATTATTTACGCACTCCACGACTCGGATATGTCAGTGTCAGGGAAAAAATTTCCCCTGACGCACTTGTGCTGCCTGCGAGTGTGTGTCCCCTTACGCTTCAATGCAAGCTCAAGGATAATTAATTTAGAAGGAGAAAGGTGTCTAACAATTGTGTTCTGGGCAACTAGTAGTATCTATAATATTTACATAAAAGGCCCGCCAATAGCTTCATCGTAGGACGGCGGAAGGTCCTTGGAGGCGTAGTCGTAGGTAGGTGGCGGCTCAGGCAGCAGCTGTGCCCCGAGAATGCACAAGTCCGGGTTGCTGTCGTAGTGCCTGGCGGTGGTGGGAATCACAGGATGACTGCCGACGCCGCCGTTCAGGGCGAGCTCCAGGGGAAGGTCGAGTGGGCAGTAGTCAAGGTCGGCATTGCTCGACAGCACCGTCAGCACTGGGGCCTCAGTGAGCACCTGATCGGCCGAGGCGATGCCCGCACTGGGGTTCACGTAGCGGTAGATGAAGCCAATCAGGGCAAAGACGATGAAGGGCGTCATGCTGAGGGCGACGTAGACGTACTGGTGCGAGTTGCGCTCCATCGTGCTCCGGTCCAGTTTGCTGTAGTCGACGGTGCGTCGATCGGGCTGGCAGCTGTTGGTGGCATTGTGAAAGCGATGGGGCGGACAGCTGATGCACTTGTTCGTCACCTCGTCGAGGGCGTACTTGCGCGAGAGAAACTGACCGCAGGTGCAGCGTTTCGAGCCCAGGTCGCAGGCACTGAACTCATCGTGCAGCTCACAGTTGATTGAACTCTCACAGGGCTCGCCGTAGCGAGACTTCTTGTGGCAGCGCTCATCGGGGGCGTTCCACTGGTAGCCGACCATGCAGTCGCAGTACGTCAGACTGCAGAAGACATTGGCGCCGATGCAGTCCTCGTTGAGGGTGCACTGCGAGTCCTTCAGCCCGCGCACACATCGGCCCTTCTTTTCGGAGTAAGCATGGCCCGACTTGCAGCGACAGGCAAAGGTGTCATTGCGAGCGCCCACCGCCTCACAGAAGCTGCCCGCCTGGCACTCCGGACTGAAGGTGCAGTGTTCGCCCACTGCCTTGTGCCTGGCAACGCACATTCGGTCGGCAATGTTGATGGGCGCAGACGGCTTACAGACGCACTGGTGATTGCTGCAGTAGGACTCACGCAGCTGACAGCCGCCGCCGGGAATACGCTCAAAGTCACATTTGACGTTCAGCAGACGACCTTCGCTGTGGGGATGTTCTGTTTGGCACGTTCGAATGGAGATGCTCAGCGTGACGATCATGAAAGCAAAAACAACCTTCGAAGATCGTGTGCTTTCAGGGAAATGGCAAATGGCCAGCTGGCGAATAACTACCACCATGGGCAGCTGATTGAGGGTTCATTCTTCAGATGGCAAGTTGTCACTTAACCAGCTGATGGCAATTGCCTTTGATGCTTTTTGGTACTCGCAGTGTAAGTGTGTCTGTGTGAGTGTGTGGAACCCAGACAGACAGACAAGGTGCGAATGCCCTACTTAGAGTGGCCACCACCGAGGCCACTGCGCATCCAACACTATACTGCGCGGATGCACCAGACTTGAGACGGAGGTTTCACTATATACCCATTGTACTGAACATCAGCAGTTTACATTTCAAAAGGCAGCACTACTCTGACAATGTACTAGGGCAGTACTAATTGCCCATTTAGTTAATGCCTTTTAGTGAGGTATCACCGATTCTAATGAATAGAAAAAAGTTCTTTATTGGCGCAAATATTTATTTACATAACAAATTGTTTTAGGCACTTTTACATGAACGAGCATAGGTTTTAGAGTATAAAGATCACCGAGAAATCGCAATGACAAGAGTGGGTTGTTTGCTTGAAGCCATAAACTATTGCGTTTTAGTGCTACGCCGGAATGTAGTACTTGCTGTAGTCGGGATTTTGAGTAAATTCAATTAACTTTGATTCGCCAGTGTTCACTCGCCTGCCGTAAATGGAGTTATCGAAGCTGGTCAGTCTGACGTGCGATGCCTTAGGCTTTTCATGCAGAACAGCGGTGTCCATTGAGTTGTTGAGAATGTCGATGCTACGCTGGAAAGAAGATAGACTTCGCAGATTTGGCTTGTCAGCAGCGGCAGCTTCTAACTTTTGCAGAGTGTGCATCAAACTTTCCAGCGAGTTTGACTTTGCCTTATCAAGACTGGCGAAACCGTCCGATGAGTTGCTGGTGGCCGAGTGAATTCCACTGGAGGTGTCGCTGCTTTTGTCGTTGCCCAGTGTGGGGCTACTCGGCTCATTCTCACTGGCCATCAGAGGATTGAACATGTACGTGAATCCGTATGTTGGCTCATCATCAGTTGGGGAAAAAGGCGCTGCAAAGTGCTCATTTGGGCTCAGTTCCTTGGGAATCGTAGTCGTGCACTAATGTAAAAAGAATGGTTAGTTCAATGTGACAAACTTTTTGCAAGTAGAAACTATACCTTTGGTTTGAATGGACTTGTTTCTCGTGCTTTTCTGAATGTCGTGTACTCTCCTTCTGAGTCACTGCCATCCTGGTAACCTTGGTGAACTTTTCTGGGTTTGTGGCAACTTCGCATAGAGTACCGGCCGTTGGTGTGTTTGCTCATCACTCGACCATATGGTCCTTCACTTCGACATGACTTTAATGAAGCTCGACTTCGGTGTGACCGATCGATGTACAGGTTAGAGCAGTTCTCTTCAGCTACCTGAGTGGTGGGTTCTCTAGTCTGCACAAAGTTGACAATGGCCTGCTTGGCGATGTCCTCACTCACTCGGTACACCTTGCCGCCATTGATGATCACCAGGGGTGAGTGCTCCAGCATAGACATTTTGTTCATCAGAAAGTCATCACCCTCAAAGTCATCGTAGTGAAAGGACCAGTTGGCTTTGATGGCCAAACACACCCAGAGAATGATCCAGCAGGTGAAGTAGATGATGGTGGAAAGAATGACGAGCAGAGCGCAAATACTGAGAGAACCACAGTAGATTATGACAAACTCAAAGAAAAGCGGTCCAACGAGAAGAGACAGCAGAAGGAAGAAGAACATGGCCAGAATATAGGCAAGATAGCTGTGCCAGGACTTGCTTTCATACTTGCTCTGCAAGTACTTGGTTCGAGCGTAGCGGTACTCTCGATACTTTTGAATGCCATAAACGTACATTGCCAGACTGGACAGGTGCAGCACCAGAAGGTACAGGAAGAAGATGACGGTCAGCTGCACCAAATTGAGCGAGGACGAGTCTCGGAATCGAATCAGCAGGTGAGTCGGGTCGCAGACAAATATTTTGAAAGCCACTTGGAAAGCAGCATAGGCGATGACACTTTGCAGCAAGTTGAAGAAGAGGTGGACAGAGAAGAGCAGAGAGAAGCACTTGTTGGCTCGCCAGAAAACGGATGGATAGCGAACAGTGAGAACGAGAAGAGCACCGATGAAATTGACAAACTCGAGAGAAAGGTGGCCACTCTCATTGAGGTTGAAGAACACATCAGACAAAGGCCTGGAGTTACGAATGAAGTATTGACCGAGGCTGGCGCTTTCACTGAACAGTGAGCTGTGTTCACTGCTGTTGATTACTCGCAGGAGACCGAAGAAATTGAACTGTCGTCCATTCATCTTGCCAATAAAGCCGTCCAAGTCAGTTTTCCAAATGTCGGCTAAAAGTACAACGTGGTTAGCATGACATGATGCTGACATTCTAATGTTAAAAACTTACATTTGCCGAGGAATCCATGACGGATGAGTTGAGCTTCGGTAATCAGCCGGGGAAAGAGAAAGCAAATGGAGATGAGCAGGTGAAGCAAGGGAGCAGTGGGCAGTGAGTGCTTCCAAACGGCGGACATCCAGCGGTTTTCAGAGCAGGCACTTTCACTAGAATCACCAGTTTCGATTTCATCGACGCCCGATATCAAACGTTTAGAGAAGCGACCGATGTTAAAAATTCCCATCTTTCGTCCATCATTTGAATAGTTGCCAACTTTCATAAAGGCGACAAAGATGAAAAAGGGCAGAATGATGATGCTAGTGCCGATGAAGAGCATGTACGCGTTGATTGAATTGGTCGGAGCTTGGCCAGTTGACCATGGCAACGCGACGTACGCTGTAAATCGGTAGATACCTCTTGTGATGATGAATATCTGCATAAAAAATATTTATTAGCATGTTTTGGTGAAGTTGGTGAAGGTGGCAGCTTACCTGAAAGCAAGTGGCAATGAGGCAGTACCAAATGGAGCCGAGGTTGTTCAGCGAATAGTTTTGCAGAAAGCTGGATGAAGGCATGTTGGTAGAGTAAACAGAGTAAAACGGTTGTTTGGTGCAAAGACGGCAAAAAAAGTTACAGCAACAAAAACATGTCAAAAGTAGGCAGTAGGTGTTCAGGACCTGATGGTGTCTGTCTAACGAATGCTCTTACCGACTGAATTGAAGCGCCTTTTTACTCGCGAATGTCTGCACAAGCAGCATATGGTCAGAGAGGAGGTCAAATGTGCAGCTG